GGATCGTCAGACTTTCCCCCTTTCATCGTGCACATGCAGGTCAAAGAGGACAATATCACGGAACCGGCCTACGAGGTGGTTATGAAAAAACATGTCTCTAAAATTATTGCAAAGGATATCAATAGTATGAAAAAGATCGGAAAAGGTAAAATTGCAATAGAGATGCGCACGGCCACGGCTGCTAACTCTCTAGTTGGGCATCCAGAACTCGCTAAACTAGGTTATACGGCATTCATCCCCTCGCATAAGGTTTTTCGTCATGGAATTATCAAAGGGGTACCCACCTCTGTCTCGGATGCAGAACTCAAATCAGATCTGCGATCCTCTGCTAAAATTATTGACTTTAAACGACTTAATCGACGCATGACGAATAATGGTATTATAGAATATACTCCTTCTACGACTATTAATATTAAGTTTGCAGGGCAAATATTACCCAAGTACGTATCTCTGTATTTTGACATGCATAACGTATCACCTTTCATCCCACGGGTTAAGACTTGTTTCTCGTGTTTCAGAATATAGGACATATTGGAAAGTTCTGTAAAAGTCGCCCTCGGTGCGGACTGTGTGGCAAGGACCCACACGGAGATAAAGATACTTGCGAACGCAATAATCTCCCCCCTCTGTGTATTAATTGCGCGGGTGACCACCCCTCCACTTCTTCTTCCTGCCCCCTTTTTATTAAACAAAAAGAAATCCATGCTCTGGCTGCCTTAGACAACATATCATTATCTGAAGCCAGGAGAAGATTATATGGCGGCAGCAGTTCACTCTCCTTTTTCTCCCTCTGATAATACTCCCTCTATGGAAAGGAATTTCAGGAATTTCCCTTTGCTACGCAGAGGAGATCGAGATAATAGCTCGGATCTAAGAGAACCCCCTAGCTATAGCTACAATAAATTCGATCCCTTAGCCACTCAGGCAGACCATTTCCAGCACCATCCAAAATATTCCCAGGTTGTTTCTGAAAATTCTACGGACAACAGAAACTCTCGCGGATCAGGCGCTTCGAGGATCTCTCCTGGTCAGAATCAGCTCAAACATACCCTAGACTATTCAACGGTCAGACGCAATGCGCCCAAGGCTACCAGCCAGGATGATGGCCCCAGATTCCAAATATTGAACGCACCGAATGGAAGGCTTCCATCATGCTCAGGTAACGGAATAGCATTTAGCAACAACAATGGCCCCACAGGGGATAGAATTAATGGCAATACCGAGCCGTTCCCCAAAGGAGACATGAATGAGCCGATGCCTATGAATTACAGACAATTCCTCAATTTCGCTAAAATCATGTTTAATTATTTGCAAGACTTCATCGGGCCTCTTCCAGAACTTCCTCTACCTGTTCAAGAATTCTCACAACCGGCTTATGCAGAACCCTTCAACCTCCAAATCGACCGTTTACATAATCCACCTCCAGGGTTCAATCATTTTTATCACTAATACATCATTTAACACTCAACATGAATTCGACTAGAAACTCTCAACGCAATAACATCAACTCTGCCATAACATCTTGGAACTGCAGAGGTATAAAGAATAAACTTCCTGAGTTCCATTCTCCAGAAAACAACTTTGAAATTTGGTGTCTTCAAGAAACTAAATTGGCCAAAGATGCCTACCTATTCTCTAACACGCATAACTTCATTAGAAAGGATATCGACACGCCGGGACAAAGCGGTATAGCTATTGCTATCAAGAAATCTATATTCTATGAAACTCTAGATCTTTCTCTCCTCTATCACCCTTCAGTGGAATTAATGGGTATTAACATAAAAATTTTGGATTCTACCCTCACTATCATCAACATCTACAGACATCTGGGCTCAAATACCCCCCTATCTTTTTTCCAACAACTCTTCAACTTTGCAATGATCTGTAACAATACTATAATCATGGGTGATTTCAATGCTCACAACATTGACTGGGGTTGCACCTCCACGGATAGATCTGGAAGACTGTTGTCACAAGCTCTGGATCAATACAATCTTATCATCTGCAATGATTACCAACCCACTCTTCAAATGCCCAATAGCGAGCATATTTCTATTATAGACTTGGTCATTGCTACGCCTTCTGCAAGCACCCTCTTTGATTGCTCTACCGGAAAGGATACCCTCTCTAGCGATCACTTTCCTATGTTAATCCGATTTATGTCCAAAATTAATCCTAAAAAGATATTTAAATACAAAATCAAACTCGACGCACAACAAGTAAAAGACTTTTACCACTCCTTATATACCAATCCGCCGTCGATTAACTCACAAACCTTCCCAGACATACTCGATAGATATAAAAATCTGGTTACTACTATTACTGAGACATTATACTCTTTATTCTCACCAGGCTCTAGAACCCCTGCATCCAAATCGGCCAAAGAAAGGAATCTGGTCGCTCCTCCCTGGTGGACGCAAGAATGCCAAGACGCTGTTGAAAAACGCAGAGCAGCTAACATAAAATATTTTAAAACCTCCAGCTCAGAGAACTGGACAGCTTATAAAAAAGAGGTAACAGAATGCAGAAGAATTTTGACGAAAACTAAAAAGCATAAATGGAGGGACTTTTGCAAGAGCTTTACTGGTAACACGCCCTCTGCTCACCTCTGGAAGCTGGTCAAAGCCTTTAAGAATAGACGCCTCGCTCCTCCAATACAATCTACTGAGGAACTACGGAAGACCCAATCAACGGCAATCAACAAATTATGCCCTCCTTCTTGTAGTACTTTGAGTACTCCCTCAATCAATGAGATGCTTACAGAGGACTCAAAACACCATCAGGGCGTTGCTTCTGATCTTGATAGACCAATCACAACGAAAGAACTTCAACACGCCATCCAGTCCACGAAGCGTACTTCAGCCCCTGGCTTAAACCAGATTGACTATGTGGTCATTCAAAACCTTCCTCAAGCCTACTTGGAAGAACTCCTGGCTATTTATAATGGTCTTTTTGAATCTGGAATTTTTCCGGAGGACTGGACCCGCGCCCTGGTCGTTCTCATCCCCAAGTCGGGAGGTAAGGGAGTCAGACCGATCTCACTTCTCTCTTGCTTATACAAGATATTGGAAAAAATTATTGTTCAGTAAGGGAGAAAATTTATTCTGTTATATTTTGACATGAAATAGATATCTTACAAACTTTTCAATCAATGCCTTAATACTTTTATGCATAGAATAATGAATTCCCATAATCGAGCGTAGTCTGATTAATACCGCATCCAAGACTATTGAATAGTTATCTTAAGGCACAGTCATTCAGTTGAGTGTGCGGCGCCA